ATCATATATAATAATGGGAAAGGATTATTTGACTTCTCTGATATGTATTTCTGTTTAGTCAGCAAGAAATGATTCCGATGTTAAATGAAGAATGATTGCTCTATCTACACTCCCATGCTCTTTTACAGACTCCTTCAGCAGCTAATGTTTCTGAAATTCCTAAAACAGTTCTAAGACAGTTTTTTTATTGCTGGTAGATGTTGGAGCTCTATTTTCCACATGGAATAATCTTTCATTTGATAGCAGTTTTTCTTTTTCAACCCATTTTGAATGGAGATAAGAAACACGCTTTCTTACAGCACCGTGGTCAGAAAGACAACCATACTTATTATGTTTAAAATTCTCTGTAAAACTGTCATGTAGCTTTATTACCTGTCCTGGTATAGTCACCCTAGGAGAATACCTTAATATAGCTTAAGCAGACTGGGAGGATTAGCTAAGTCTGACCTCCAAGGACCAGTTAACCATTGCAAAAAGCAAAATTATATTTTAGCCTCCACAGGAAAGACCAGCACCACCTGCAGTGACTCTTGTTTAAGATACCAAACATGGAACACATCTCATGCTGGGCTTCCCTACATCAGACTGGTAAATTAAATCTGAAATTGTTCAAGTTAACTACAGATTTTTTTAAGATTTACCAAGGGCAATACTTTGTCAAAGTGACCAAGTCAAACTTGACACACTTTAAAAATCATTCTGTATTGAAAGTTACTGACTGATAACTACTGGGAAGCACTGTTTTAACTCGATAGCATAACATGCTGAAAAATGGTGGCCCTCACTTAGGAAAAAAAATTTGAAGCTAAGTAACTTTAAAAAAAAAGTTGAAGTAAGTTTAAAAAAAGTTTGAAGGTAAAGAGCTCTCACCCTCGTCCTACATTGGAGGAAAATGATTACCATATTATTTTTACTCAAAGTGAAAAAAACAACATTGTGAATTCCAAATCACAAGAACATTGCATGATTTTTTAAAATAAAAACAGCTCCTTATTTCAGTATGGAATTGTTTCTGCTGGCTAAGCAGTTGGTGTTGGAGAGCAGGCACAGCTCTTACCTTTTAATTCACCACTATTCATACCTAAAAGATGATGCATGACATCCATAGCAGTGACAGGATTTGAACTATGGGAAATTTTAGCCAGTTATGTTGACATTAATCACCTAAATCTGGCTTTGAACATTCCTTAAAGGAGCACAGTAGGAGTGGAATGAGGGCTGGAATGGGTGTGACCTAAACAGAGGCCACTGGTGTAGAGGGCGTTTGTCACTGTCACTGTTGTGTGATGTGTCGTGCTTCCTGTGATTTGCTCTGGAGCAGTTGTTTCCCTCTCTGGAAAAAGCTGCCCCATACACCAAGAATCTCATACCTCTACAAAACACCAAGTAGGGCTTCTCATTGCAACTCCTGTGCAAAGCAGCCCTGAATTTTATTTACATGCATTACTGCCTGCAGGCGCCACAGGACCCCAAGACAGTAATAAGATACACACAGAGGGTACAGGAAAGTCCATATTCTGTTTGTAATCCAACTTAAGAAGATTTAAAGTGAAATGAAGATGAAGAATCAGAATCAGTTGACACTTTCTTAATACATGGATGACATGGTTACCTCTAAAGAGTGGTATGATAAGTTTGGTATCCATTATATAAATTCAAATCTCCACACTTATAAGGAGATTTGAATATTATCTTAAGCAAAAAAAACCCCAAATGATCAAACAAATTCCCAGACTTTATGAAAATGAAACAAATTTCATGTATTATAATAACTTAGTATTCCATCTACCAATCATCTGGTCTGTGGGACTAAATCATAGAGAATTATACAGGCAAGTGAAACAGAGCACACAGCTAAATGATAACAGTAAACTAGAAAAAAAAATCAGTATTGCAATTGCAAAAATAGTTATTCTATTCACTGCACAGAAAAGCTGCTATTTGTCCACTGAGTGTATTTTACCTCATAGTTCCTAAGACAGAAGAGAATCACAGAACTTACTGCATTTGCTTCACAATCATACTTCTAATTTGGCATACAAGCAGCTGAAATGTATCTAAAATTTATTCAATCTGTTTAAACTGCAGGGAAAATCATTCCATCATGATAAGAACTAACAAGCTACAAGGGAAAAAGAGGCACAGTAATGATAGAAAGTGACCATATTACTCTTCGTAATATTGCTTTGTGCTGAGTGTTCATTTGATTGGACTAAAGCCAAATTGGAAGGCATCTTTATATATAAAGATGCCTTTATATATAAAGGCATTTATACTTCCCAGAATATCTTCAGATAGCTTTACATTGATTTAAAGCAGAATAATTTTAATTTTAGCATGCTGAATTTAAAAATTCTGAAAACACTTTTAGTTTCAGAACTATGTTCCTATCTTGCCTTTAATTTATCTTCCAGGTAGAAAACACAACTGAAGCTTGAATGAATTAGGCACTAATTCCCTAATTATGAATGTTCAAAACTGACAATTTTGGATATACTTGCACACTCATCCTGCTGTTGGACAACAGGGATTCTGTGTTTCCATTTTGTTAGACCTAAGATTAGACCTTAGACCTTTGTTAGACCTTAGAACCACAAAATCATTTAAGCTGGAAAAGACTTCTAAGATTGTCGAGTCCAAAACTTCCAAGTCCGCCACTAACCCATGCCCCTAAGTGACACACCTACAGGTCTTTTCAATACCTCCAGGGATGTTATGTGCCAAAATTACATCTGAACATAAATAACTTGTGAATAACACCATCATGTTGACTTAAAGGCTAAAATTATATTATTGAGAACAGGAGAATATTTCCCACTGTGGGCCCCCTGACAAGAGAGATCAGCACAGCAGGCAAAGAAGGATCCACTGCTTAGCCATTAGGGAGACTAATGGGGTAGGTATAATCTGATAAATGTACAAACATATCAGATTATGTACAACATAATCTGATAAATGTACAAACAATTGCTGCATTCAGATACAGTGCGTGATGCAAGCTGAAGAAAACATGCTTAGAAATTAAATACACGTTTTGTTGAGAAGTTTTGTTCTGTCATCATATTCTCTCATATTAGAGTGACTGTAATGACAGAAAAAGGAAAATTACTGAGAGCTAAATAACCTACTGATTACTGTACTTTTAACCATATTCAGCTCGATTTGTTTAAGGACAGGTTTGGTTGCATGATGCTTAGATTCATGGTGTAAGAACAAGAATAACCTGGTTTTACCTTATGAATATTTGACTCAGTAAAATTATGCTGGTTAGCTGGATTTTTAACAATCTCATCTGGCACAGCCAAGAGATGAATTTAAAGGGAATTACTGGTACCAGCAAGCCCAGCTTCAGGCTCTCTCACATGGTTCTGTTCTGTGTACGTTGCTGGAGCTACACTGGTTTGCTTGGGTTTACTCTCAGCTCTGACAACACTGCCAGGGAGACTGAGGCTTTGTGCTTTCCAAGGTGTGAAAATTGCTCCCAAACTTTTTGGGGCATATGTTATTTTCTTCAGGAAAACATAAAAGGAAGTAAACCACAAATGTTTTACTCAATGTAAAGCTCCACCCTTGTCTGCAGAATTAGGCTCCCATATGTTTTCCTTTCTGAAGTACTTTTTTTATGGCAATAATATCAAAAACAAAATAAGAGTTGAAGTTAAAAATGTTGTCACTATCCAAACGAATATGAAATTTCATAAATATTATGGCTTGTGCTATAGCGCTTCAAAAATACTTTAAACAGATGGGCTAGTGAGACTGCCATTCATATTTTAGCAGTCAAGAGGCACGTTTAAACTGCTGGTTGAAACACAATATAAGGCACATTCCACATGTAGTGTCAGAAAAAAAGAAAAGGCTTGTTTGCTAAAAAACCACAAATAATAATTAAAAAAAAAGTTAAGTGGATGACATAATATTTTATATAACTGTAATATAGTGGTCCAGGAAAAAATTACTGCTATATTGTAAAAGATAAAAGAAGCAAAAAATAAAAGAATCCTACTTCTCTGAATAAAGTATCACAGTATTTTTTAAATAACTATCTGGATGAAAAGCTGAAAGTTTTGTATACTCCTCTACACCAGAAAAGCACAATAACACCTCTAGAAACCAGCTAGGGGAAAAATATTTTCTTCAAGTGACAGCATTCTAATGGAGATAAAGAATGAGGATAAGAATTTTAATCTATAATTTTAATGAAGATAAAGGTGACAGATAAAGGAAGAGGAGAAGGAGAATTGCGTTCCCTATCTTTCCCTATGATTTGAGATAGGCTCTCACTGGAAGGACATTAGTTAACCTGAATGGTCACACTCCAGAACTTCACTATATAACAAATTTCCCAAAGTAATCTGCTTTATATCATCATCTTTTATGTGCTAAAAATTAATCATTTAAAAATATCCTATAGGTCACTTTGATTTTCTAGTGAAGATTTCTGTTCATTTATAAGCTCCACAATGATGAAACACAAAGGTAACGAAATATGGGCAAAAATATTAACTGTAGCCTTATATCATGATACAGAATTCAGTTTTAACTCTCAAATCTAAAGGAATCATTTTGCACAGGGCACAGAAGTATCCTAGTACAGGTTATGGGAGGGAACAGAGCAGGAAAAGCTGCCTCTGAGAAGGAAAAACTACTGTTGGGAGCTATTTTCTGCATTTAGAAAAACCAAACATAATGCCAGTTCTTCCATTCCCAGCAGATGAAACAGAAAGCCGAGCTCCTGTGTTGTTCCTTGAAGCCCTGGAAGAGATAAGCCTTACACTCCACCTATCTGCACAAGGATGTAAACTGAGTTTAGATATCATCTCCCCCAAGACTTGGTAATCATTCCTGCTTGGATCCATTATCTGAGCAGGAAAACACATCTCTTCAGTCTCAACAATGAACAATAGCTTAAAGTCAGATTCTAATCTTACAGGTTGGCATTCACAAGTGTTAACAGATGATTCCAGGACACAAGTATATTCATTGGCTATGCAACTCACTTTTTTGTTGAGTCAAAGCAAGTTGAGGTGAATAGATCTCTCCCAGCTGCATCGGAAACACTGTGAGGAGCTTGGAGCACTTGGATTCCTTTGCCTTCCCCTTTCCATATCTGATCCATATTCTGTAAGAGAGTGATAAAAGAAATGAAAAGTAGAGAATTTGTATCACTATTAAAAAGTGATCTCTGCTCAACTCAGTCAATTAATTTAAGACAGACCAATTATTCTAGAAACAAAACTAATGCATAGAAAATACAAGTGACTTGGTGTGTTTGGTATGAGAGGCCACTCAGTGTTACTCACCATCCCTTAGTTAAGTTACTTCCCTTATTAGTAGGCTATTATTTAATTAAGTCTTTGTAGGATCTATTGCTTGTTTTATATGCCTTGAGTAAACTAATTTTTTTTTTATTTTTGCATGCATTTTAAGCAGATATGCAAAAGTAGTACTTTACTTCAAGTCCAATACAGCAATGAGGTATTGGATATCCTGTCATTTATTCTCAGACCTGCTGCTCATACTGTGCTGTGCTGCCCATATGAACAGGATCAAATGAGGGTGTGAGAGAAAAATCTGTGAAAATAGCTGTGAAATACATGGATCAGAAGTAGATTTAGGCTTATTTTTTCGTTTATAACCACACTTCTTTTGTCACAGACTCAGACACGGGGATTTTTTGCCCTTCTCCCCGAGCCCAATAAGCTGGGATCTCTACAGGAACCATTAAAGTGCAGCTGTTATTTTCCCACTAATGGCTGTGCTGGACTATATCAGAAGGAGAAAAACTCCATGAAACACCCTTTGAGGAAGAAACTTAAAAATAGAAATTCTAAGTTCCAACTATTATGAGTGACAGAGAGCAGAGCTGGGTGATGCAGGCAGAGGGGATAGCAGCAGCCATAACTCTAACTTTGCTGCCATTAATGTTTATGTTGTGTATGAAGTGGTTTACCAACATGCTGATGGACTGGCATAATGTGCAAGCACATGATTTATTCCTTCATGCAGCAGCTATGGGAGAACACAACCACAAATGGATGTTTCAGTACAGACAGTTTCAAAACAGAGAGATTTATCTTGACAAGTAGAGAACTGCAATAAAAGATGTATTATTTGGTAGAATAATTGGTGAATGCATTATCCTGTCAACATTTAACTGTTATAATCAACTTAAATAATCAAAGCTGCCCTAGAGTTTTTTATTGTTTTACATTAATTTCAGAATAATTTATAATTTTACTTACATTTGCATCAATGTAAATGGAACTAATAAGTTAAATCTCAAAGTTATGTGAAACAAGAAGCATAACACACTTCAACACTGACACGCCTACTCTGCAGGCCATACATTCTCATACAGGCTGCACTTCAAAGCAGCAGATGACACCAAAATGCTTGGGCTCACTACCCCTGCTGTTTGGGCTATCCATGCTCACAATGACCCTGTGATAATGACTTTGCTAATTAGGGAGTGCTGGTAGTTAGCTTTGGTCCCTCTCTCACCTGAAGTCACTCTGGAAGGTGGCTCGCTGTGGCTGGCTCACTCAGCTTTTTGCAGACGTGTCACTAACCTGACCTATCCAGCTCTGTATGCCTCATTAGTCTGTTTGATCCACTCAGGCATAAACTGCTGATTTTTGGATTAGCTGCTTTTGTCTGTTAATCTGCCCTTGACTCACAGACTGAAATGTTTTAGCAGTGGAATTCTGAAGCCTTTCAACAGTTGTTCCTGAGCCACTTGGTGAGTGCCTTTAGAAAAACCTGCATGCTTTGCCAAGACCTGGGGGTATTTGTAGACTCTCTGCATGCGCACCAAATAGTACACAATATGTATAAATGCAATGCTTAGATAGAGGCAAATTCAGACTAATGTGGTGTTCTCAGGTAATTATGTAGATCTCAAACTGAAAGCAATAGCATGCATGAGTCTTCACAGAACTGAGAAAATCTCTGGCTGAAGACATCAGAATTCCCTGCATGAAAAAACCCCACACCAGGTCCATGATGTGTTGGTACAAGCTCTTACACTGTTTTCAGCAGCAAATTCTGGCTTGTAGGGGATTCTGCCTTGCTTATCCTTTAACTAGTTGGGCCATACAACAGCCTCGAAGAAATGAAGAAAATAAGGTTTAGCTACAACTTTATTGCAGAAAAATGGGGAAATGAGCATGTAAAATGGTGAAGACAAGAGGGTGCTGCCTACACTATGATTTTGATGCCAGTCAAGGCAATGACATCTACATCATTGTTGAGAAGAGAGAGAGAGAGAAAACAAGAATCCGTGTAAGCTTTGAGGCTCCCTGGGGGCAGGTACATTCAGCTGAATATTTAATGTGTGTTCAGCACAGCTACCAGGACAGCAGTGTGTGGCTCAACAATGCAGACACACAATGTGGCATGTCCTCAATGACAGATCAGGCAAATTAAGAAAAACACCAAGGGTTTGACTGGATACCATCAATAGTTTGATTCATTCTGTGTTTTGCGTCAGAATGTCCAAGTGGGAGGGAAAAATATGCATTTAAATATATTGCTGATGGTTTAATTGCTGAAACTTGCTACTCCATCCCTACTCAGTTGTAATAATGATCAGGGCATGGAGCATTACTTGAAGAATTAATGGCCACCTGAGGTTAACAGCCCACAGCTAAACCTTGGGCCTTCAGCTTTCTCAGCTATTCATTAATCCCCAGGAATTGTCCTGTGACTCCATCCTTACTTCTAATTTAAAAAGTGTATTTTCTCCTTTTAATTTTCTTTTCACAAAATGAAAGTACTCAATTAGACTTTGTCATTAAATCACATCTGCATTGATTACCTAGGAAAAAATAACAAGAGCAAAATTAAATTTGCCTATTTAATCATTGAATCCTGATTAAATATTTGTTATAAACATTGCAATTAAGGCCGTACAAAAAATGCATATTAGGCAAAGAATGGTATACAATTCAAAGATGCAACACGTCCAGACTCACTGCTTCTATTTACTTCCTCTATTCCTTACTGAACAATGCACTACATTTGTGAGAAACTTCACAAGTTCTTTTCAGCATCACAGGACTATTAATACATAACAGTAGCTAGGAAACTGCACAAATGTTTCACTGATTTGATAGTGAAATCCATTTAAATCACAGTGATGAAGATATTCCTAAAAGAACCACATGATCACATAATTACTTTCATTTTCATAGGTTAAATAAAGAATGAAAGAAAACACCCAGGTAAGATTTCAGACAGTGATCCAAATTCTCCAAATTTCTCTCAAGAAGTTGATGGTCATCAGCAAAACTCCATTTTTGTCCATGAGTCTGGTGGGATTCCATAGGATTCCAAATGCATCTAGAGATGCATGGTGCTGTGATTAAATGAACCTTTAGCTCAGTCCCTTTGCAGGCACAGAGAGGACACTGTACCCTACAGCACCATGTGGTGAAACACCACGTTCTGAATTGAAGTGAAATCAGCTCACTGACATTGTGGTTTTATACTGAACTTCAGCAGGAAGACCAAAGCTCACAGGGATATTTATCAGCTTAGCACCTGCTGAAAGGCACCTGCCATGCTGACACACAGGCACATTAACAGAGGAAAAAACCTTCTTCAAAACTTGGAATAATCACAATATATGAGCACTGACCACCTTTTGTTGTGCTTGTGCTACCACACTCAGGTGGAGAAGCCAGCTCAGAGCTGGAACACTGAGCCTGCAAACCAGACTGGGACCCACAGACAATGGGCTTTAGGTCAGTGTCTGATGTAGGTCATGTATAACCTGGTTTTCTGTGAGAGAGTTTCATTTCTCTCTCCACCATAAAACAAATATCCCATGTCCCCTTCACTCCCAGTCGGAACATTCCCAATTTCCTCCAAGTCCCTGCATTTCCCCTGCTGGATTTAGTGAACAGGTCTGTGCACTGAATGTGAAGTGAAGAAGATCTGGATAAGATTCCTCCCCACCATATAGGAAATGATCTCTACTAATTTGGTTTTTTGGTACGCAAATGGTCATAGAAAGTAATATACAAATATATTTGAGAACACTTACTGAAAATAACAATCAAAGTTTAGATTTTTTTTTCCTCCCTGTCTCATTTGAGTTTCTCTAATATGAAAGCAGATGGAGCAGCACAAAACCAACATCTAATCCTAAAATATACCTAAAAATATTCAGGTTTTCTGAATGTTTTATTGCTCCTTCCAAGTCTTCATCCAAAATCTCCCTGCTTGCTTTTAGAGTGTCTATATTTAGACTGTAGAAACCATACGAAAGGCCTCATCTTTTTAGCACTTTTTACTTAATAATATGAATTATTTCAGTAAGAAGGCTGACATATTTGGTCACTTCCATGTTTGTGCTATTAAATTAAGTATCTCAGAATAATTTTAGCAGGAACATTGTTAATGGAATTGCAGGCATTCTTTGTGCTGTCAATGAATTGACCACAAGAACTATTTCAGCCATGAGACACTGGACGGTGTTAGAGAAGTAACAGGGAGGTTATCTGGAGATAGAAATAGCTTGCAGCTGCCAGATGTTGTTGAACAGGATCACCTGCTATGCAGAGCTGCTTAATTTTTATCAGGTAAGTGCCCCATTACACACAGTGGTTTTGTGTATTCAGATGGCATAGGGGAATGATATATGCATATTTGAGCCCATAAAAATATATATTGAATAATCAGCATGTTGTGTTGTTTTTCAGACACAAAATGATAAATTATACATGTAGAAACATCTTTCTGTCAAAAAATCCCCATCCAATAAAAGCAAAAAAAGTCCTGCTGAAAAAAACTCTAACAAAAAAAGCTTTACATAGCCCAAAATGAGAAAGGCTATTGTAATGCCTGCATTTATTTAAGAATAATAATAATAATAAAAGATATCAACATTTGCAGTTCTTAAATAAATATAACATCTTTTAGATTGAATTATGGATTCCAGTTTCATTTTATAGCACTGCAAACCTATTAAGGATACAGTTGGACATCACATGAAAAAATGGACATCGCATTAAAAAAAACCACTAATCAAGACCTGGGTTTGTTCATTTTTCAAAAAAAAAAAAAAAAAAAGGAATGGCTACCATAATTAAAA